ATCTCGAGCACTTCCTTTGGTAATGAATTTTCATGTTTCATTGTGTATGAAACTAAACTTCTGAAGATATGATAACTTCTCTTTTTGGAAATAAGATCAATAATCCATGCACCAATATTTAGTAGCCACCCTGTAGATTTACTCCGAACGAGTACATGTTGAGATCTTGGAACGGTTAGATTGTTTCCAAGATGTCCTATTGGTTGGTTGAAAATATATGAGTGGGGATATGCAATTACATGGGCAAATTCTTAACGAATGTGAAGGGGATCCCATCAGGAATATGTAGAGAATAGCTGGGCCATATTTTCAGGAGCTCGTAAACCATAACAGGTTCTACGTAAGGAACATAGTTCATCCTGTTTAAAGGCTTATGTAGAGTATACGGTGAATTCGGGTGCGTGACGATTCAATCGTGGCGGTGGCTAGGTCGCCGCGCCAGCCGCCGCAGCCCGCGATGCGACGTCGGCCGTGGCTAGAATTCAGGGTTCTAGCATTGGGGAATGTAGGATTAGATGAAGTTTCCAGTCGTGAAACACGGTATATGATCACCTGCCCCCTTAAAATACAGGATCCTTGTCCTTTGCCATTATTTACAAACTTATTCTGTCATACTGATGTTATGCCTTCCTCACCGTTCCACTGCGTCTTGGAACGTAATATTTTTCCGATTTAGCCAGATTATCGCTCTCTGATAACAATTCAGGCAGTTGATTAATAAAGAAGTCAAATTATGTTCAAAAGGACAACCTTTACATGGCACAAGCTCTGTACAGTGAGGCTTAAATAACTGCGGAGATCTTAAGGTGACTCTTGTTGGCTCACTGATGTCTGGAACTTTGGTCTTATCAGTTCTCTAACCCCACCAGCAACTTATGGACAAGGACCGTTAAGCCAAGGCCCATACAAAAATCGCCGCACCAGTTGGGCCTTCAATCTTCAATCGTGGGCCAATGAAGTTACGCCGCTCGCGCGACGCCGCCCGCCGCGTGAAGCGCGTACCCACCACTGCCGACATGAAGGACCGTCTCCCGTTGACACCCGTCATTCGTATGAAATATTAGGTCGGTCCATAAGTCTTGCAACAAACTACATTTAATGCTATAGAATTTTAGGGAGAACTCCTGAAAATCCGCAACATATTTCCTGACGTAGCATCAACCTTTGCAATTTCAGCCAACGGTCCAGCTCGTTGTCTGCTTACTTTATGGATATTACACCGATTTCGCGAGAGGGCTCTCGATGCCCTTAATTTTTACGAGTACTGCTTGGAATGTTCCGCAAGTCATGCTAGACCAAGGATTGGCCAGAAGATAGCGAGGCATGCCTCTCTAAAAAAAAAAAAAAAAAAAAAAAAAAAAAAAAAAAAAAAAAAAAAAAAAAAAAAAAAAAAAAAAAAAAAAAAAAAAAAAAAAAAAAAAAAAAAAAAAAAAAAAAAAAAAAAAAAAAAAAAAAAAAAAAAAAAAAAAAAAAAAAAAAAAAAAAAAAAAAAAAAAAAAAAAAAAAAAAAAAAAAAAAAAAAAAAAAAAAAAAAAAAAAAAAAAAAAAAAAAAAAAAAAAAAAAAAAAAAAAAAAAAAAAAAAATAAATAAAAAAAAAAAACAAAAAAAAAAAAAAAAAAAAAAAAAAAAAAAAAAAAAAAAAAAAAAAAAAACAAAAAAACAAAAAAAAACATAAAATAATAAAAAAAAATACCACAGTGCAACGGCGCTTCACTCTGCTCAGTGTTGACTTTTTTTATTTGAAAATAACCCACACTCCAACCACCCTGTGACTGACAATCACGATGCTATATCTGACGGCGTTGAAAAGGGATCTGGATAGAGTATCGATCATTTGCTAGAGCGATTCCGATGTGACAAGGAGACAGCACTGTGGCTTCTTCAAAGACTTGTGAAGATCCGAAAATGTAGAGTTTGGTCCCCACGTGCCTTGAGCCCGATTCAGCTCCAAACACGATCTGACACCGTTATGTTCAAGTCGACTTACTAGGGATTCTACGATTGACCATCCATCACATTTGCCGAAGATGAGGAGTGGGTACAGTTTACTAACAAATGAACAAGCGGCGGTAGTCCAGCTCAAACGCTTCGGGAGATCTTATTGCTTAAGTTCAACCTCGTCCAAGTAGGGCCTTCTCGGATTTTTGGTGGAACACGAGAGGAGTTAAGCTCTGGAAACCCCTCCGTGTAGATGTCGCAGTCAACGCGAAAGTCAACTATCCACAGCTCGAATGCAACGCTTTTAATACGAAAGAAAAACAAGGCAAAGTTTGCTTTTGTATGACACCGTTGAACCACCTCTTGCTTCTGAAAATTCAGAAAAACTTTGAGACTCTAGGACGGGGAGTTCTTCCGTACTCACGTTATAGCCCTGACCTCGAGGCAAATAATGCCCTTCTGTTCCCCTCTCCAAACCATCTCCTAGAGAAGAAAGCTCATCCTAACTATGATGATGTCAAAATCGACATCTGATCTTTCTTCGATCAGAATTCAGTAGAGTCCTACAAGGGAGGCATCGAGCAGCTACTAGTGTGTTGGCAATAGGTTGTAGATATTGATGGAGGGTAGCATGCCGGATGAATGGAACAAAAAGATAATGAAAATATTAAATTCAAAATTCGGCCAGTTTGTTGCAAGAGACTTATGGACCGACCTAATACATTAGAGAATTTCTGGACTAAAGCATTTGCTATATCAAAGTCAGGCGAGGATCGTGCCGTTCACTTTTGAACTAGAAGATTTGTTCTTGCTTTGCAGTTTGCTCTTCATAAAGCTGAATAAATGGTGCTTTTCTCCGGACTCAGTAATTTTCTCTTCTACGCTTTTGTTCTACTTGAACAACTTTTTATTGTAATTTCTGCAAAATATCCATATTCTGTCCAGTCCCCACTTAGTCTAGTATAGTTGGAGAGATATTTGTCGTAATAACTTCGTATAGCATACAACGCATGACCGTTGCTTGGATAACATAGGCCTGAAGAAACGAATATTTGATAGTAGGTTAAAGATGAAAGGAACATCCTATACTTCTCATCAACAGAACCAACTCAAATGAGTCAGCTCATAGTACGTTGTGAAGAGATGACGCAATGCTATTAATTACATTAGCTATAACCTTCACATTGCGTAAAGCGTTCGGTACTATTCGCGAACACCAAATTTTCAAAAAAAGTTTCTCTCTTCGTGGGTCTTATAGCACTATTGTTATAGAAAAGTGAAAGTGAAGAGTGTTTGACAAGACATCACGGACAACGACCACAGACAACCTTGTTTTCTTGGGTATTCCGACCAATCCGGTCATTGTCGGGAATGTTAAAATCCCCGATAACAGTGCAAGGTATATCATTTATAAAGAAATCACTGACACAGGTGTGTCTAATTTTGTTCATCTTACCACCGAGAACTTGGGGGGTCTAAAACCAAAATATTCTAAAAGGAGAACTTGTTTGGCATCGAACACTCTCCGTAGCTAAAATTTCATGGACGTTATTAAACGATTCGGAGAGAACAAGAGGATGAGATGTTGAATTTCTGAGGAAAATGGCAAAAGCCTCCTCCTGTTCTAGAATTCTATCACAGCGTAAGACTGCGTAATCATGTATCCCAAGAATTGAACATAGATGTTACCATGTGATAGCTTTTAAACCATGTCTCAGTTGAACAGTATAAATCAGCGAATGTTGGTGTAAAAACAGTAAAGCGAAAAAATGACAATCGTTTCTGGACTATGGATATTCGTATCAAGAGGCAGGAGATGCGTATTTAGTTTGACTGGCTTACATTGGAATGTGGTGCTTGAGGAACCGTATTTTCACGTACTTCCTCGTGACCAAGACGCTCCTCTCGGCGACGCTTTCTTTCCGCTATTGTCAGGGATTCCCTGAGTTAGATCCCTTTTTAAGAAAAGTATAGTAGGGGTGAGGACAGATTACTGTAACTCAGGTATTCGTGAAGTCGCAACAGACCTACGCCTTTCGTATTTTTCGTAAACTATCAGTATCGTGGTTGGGAGAAGCATTAGGTTGAGCATAAAAAGATGTGTCAGAATTTAATGGAATATCGAGTGGTAACCCAAGACATCTACGCAGTATAGAATTTTCTCACGAACTAAATCACGTTCTTGCTTCACATCGTTCAGCCCTTTGAGTAGTGTATTGAAAGCTAGTTTAACGCAGTCTGGTACGGCCATAGAGCTACTAACTTCACGTCTAGCTTCTTCCAAATTGCATGTGCTTTCAGATCTTCTTGAGGTGCAGATTTTTGCTGACTCTTCCTGGTCACCTTAACATTTGGACGAGAAGGAGTACTCATATTGAGAACAAAAACAGTTCAGAATGACCTTTGATGGGGACCAAAAGAGAAATAAACATGACCACTGAGCTGCATATAACTATTCAATTCTTGTAACTTGCATCTATTGTTGAAGCATTGTACAGATATCTCATACATTTACAAAATTTGATGCATGTACTTGACCAGTAGATTCTACTATTGGCACGCTGTACGTGGGGTTTTAGACTATTTCAAAATGCAGTGGGAATTGAAAGTGAAATTTAGTGAGTATAAGTGAGAAAAAAGGGACAAAAAGTATGTACAGAGTATAAAACGTATATCAATCTCGGAAGCTTGAACAGAAGTACTTACAACTGTACATACAATCATGCCGAGATTAATTGAGAGTCGTACATGGACAAAAAGTAGTCTGAATAAAGTTAATTCTACTGCTCTAAGTGTCTGAAGTCACCGCGCAGGGGGTGGTTTATTTATACTACAAATTTTAAAAGAAATACGAAGGATGTGACCGAAATTCCCCACAACAAGAACCACGGAGTTTCTTCATATGGCGAGCTCGCACGTTCCTCTATTACTACACTAGATTAAAGCATGAAAAAATGCCAAGCGTATCCTTAAAAAGACGGGTGCGGCACCATGTGCAGCACGCGACCGCACAGAGGCAAATCGTCGTGCTGCACCATGTATAGCACGTGGTGCGCCATGGGATAAACATAAACTAAAAAACTATGAAGCTGTATCAATTTTCAAAGTTTCTCAGTTCGTGTTCAAAAAGCTCCCAAACTTCGTTATAGTATTATTTATGTACTCGTAAGTAGTAAACAATAGCAAAAAATCTTTTTCATGAAAGAAACTCAGGACTGAAAGAGGCAAAGCTGTATGACATGAAAATAAATGGAAAGTGCTGCTAAGGTGGGAGGAGGGACGACAGGAGGAGGAATGAGTCTGGCAGAAAGAAGCAGGAGGGTATGGGAAGTGAGTATTCTCTCTAACTTTAGCTCTAATATCCATTTTTGTTAATTTGTTCGCAACATGGCATGTTCTAGTAAAGTTCCGAATGCTTGCCACGCGCCCTGACAACTTTTATGCTAAGCTAGGCCACATTTCATGTCTATGAATGTAGCTCAGCAATAATGTGCCCCGCTTCAAAAACCTATCGATCGAGTAGGATGTTACTTCGAAAGTCCAAAATGCAGCGATCTGCAGCCTTCTTGGTACCATAAGATATTATAGCCGAAAATTCGTCAATCGTTGGAGCAGGGTCGAAAAGAAAGCGATGAAAATGAGGATGATTAGACCATAATCATTAAACTTATTCTTCGTAATCAAGGCAACAAACAGTCTCTGGTTTGCATTAGCAAATTGTAGTGTAGACCTACCACCTTCCGACTGAGCCGTAGATGGTCATTACATAGCGCATACTAGGAGGAAATGGACCTGGGTCGAGTGCACTGTTCCCTTTATATTTCATCGAGGGGTTGGATAGATGACGATAGAAGCAATTTGAGGGCTTTAAAAAAAGTTCTGGCATGGGCGAAGGAGGAATTCTGTTTTCGATTGACTCGGAGATTTTCTAGTTACATCCTCGACGATTTTTCGCGAACTACACGACTTACGAAAAAAGCTGCAGCAATTATCAGAAAAGCAATCGTTCTCTTGAATTTTCAAAAGATCAGCACTGAACAAACTGATAGTTTTTCGAAGAGTTACCTGGATACAATTCAAAGTGAAGGATTTCTATAGTATTGGGGAGCTCGAGTCTGCCGATTTTATGGGTTACCTCTCAATGCCAATGTGACATGGAATAAATAATCCTGAAAAGGTCAAAGGAGAAGCAGCGAAGCTATGCTCAAGACTTGGATCACAGAGCATTTGCGTGGAAGCCGCGCTGCTTCTCTGAATCTGAAACGTACATTTTTGCTAAGAAAGCAGATGTTGGAAGGGGTCATATTGAAACCTGCGGTAAGGAGGGGGGGGGGAAGAGGGAGCGTAGAGATAAGGCTTACTCGACACGACTTCCGCCGTTGTCAGAAGTGATTTAGTTTTTGAAGAAAGAAGCTGTGGGATTTGCAATGTTTGCTGCTTTTCTTCGGTATTCAACATGGCTAAAATGCCTTGGAATATTCCTGCATCCACCGTTTCCTGAAGCTAAATCTATGAAGAGTTTGCAAGCAGTCTGTGTCAAGTTTAAGGACTACTTGGCTGTGAGTGCCTCATGGTGCCCGTAGTGCAGGTGCTATGCTTTTCCGTGGCAAGTAGGTACGATATTCGTATTCAGGGATCAAACTGCCCCTGAACGCGAGTTTCTGGCCAAAGCTGAGGTTTTACCCCTAAGTGAGAAAAAGCGTTAGCACTCAAAGAGAACCCAATGAAACAGGGTCATAGAGAGTCCGATGAATCAGAGTCATCGTTCTCCCACTAAAAAGTCACTTCTCTTGTTTGGTAAGAGGTTAGTCAAAAGAAGACTGAGCGGAAAGGAAAGAAAAATCAGTGTGACCGTTACAGTATCCCCAGATTGGGAGTGATATAGAAGAAAAAGAGTGTTTTCAAAAACACAAACCTTTAGAAACATCTACTTTCTACTACCTTCTGTAGAAACTGTGAGGGAGTCTGCTCGAGATCTTCTGTGGTGAAAAACTCCTTCGGTAAGCGCTACGCCGTTTGACTTTCATGTAGAAAGTGAAAGACATCCCAAGCATATTTCTTGTGCACAGGCTCAAGTCATCAAAACTTTAGTAGAACACTAGACGACTTAGGCCATATGAGCGGCAGAGAATAGCCGGTCCTGATCTCATTGTTCCTCTCTTATATTGAGAGCAAATGACTAAACAGAGGTGGATAATATGCTTTACTGGATGAAATGCTTCAAAATGAACAAATACGATAAAGCGGGACTGCAGCACGGTGCCAACGAATACTACGCGGCCTTTGGTTACCCATTTCCCTAGCCATGCACTTGAACATATCTCCAATTAGATTTATCTGGAGGGTGCATAAGGAAAGGATGAATTCTCGGAATAGTGTTTGATAACTTCATATTTATCAGGTTTTGGGTGGGAATTGAACATGCGTGAAGCTTCTAAGAGATATGCACTGTCTCTCAGCATTACGAAACTGTAGCAAGAGCCATGACTCAAAGTAGAACAACATATTCTCCGCTCTGCTCACTTTGTAACCTAACGACCAATAGTTGCAAGGTTGCTCGATATAGTAACATTAGGTTCAGGTTTGGGTTTAGGTTTAATACGTGTGCAAAAGGCACATGTGGGAAAAACACTCCTGGCAAGAATAATAGCTCCCGGCATGAATAATAGCGCGAACGCAATTGAGGCAGGATCGACGGCTGCACGAAGGTTTGAAAACCCAGCAGAAAATTCGCAAGGTTTTCAGCGCTCTTGATCCAGTGATTTCTACAGTGTTTTGGAGCGTAAGCTTCGCTAACATTAGATTGTAGGAAAGTCCTTAGTTTTTGAAGGTTCTCATCTTTTACCAGTTAAGGACCATCCAGCAAATGGAATTGTGCATATCTAAAACAACATCTTCTTGCAAATTCGGAATTATTAGCTGTATGCTTGTAAATTCAGAATTATTAGCTGTAAACTCTAGCTCATCTCGCTTCTGCAATATGCAACTCACACAATAAGAGCCATGATCTTTCGGTATACGAGTTCACTTTTGGTAAATCAGCAGCCTCATCTACCCATCGAATCAGCGCTGCAGATGAAGAAGGTATCGGATGCACTACACAGTATTGGTTCAAACACTTTCGCGAGTCGACTCAAAGTCGACAATGATCGCTTGCGCCGGCTGATGGCCAGGCAGACCCACGGCAAATACGTGTGAATTAGGCACTAGTACAATTCGGGTTCAGAATCCACACAGCACGTTAAACGGTTGCCTATAAATGAATCTGGCACTTCTATTTGCGCCTTCCTGTCTCATTTGAAGGAATCCTCCACGGAATAAGTTCCCACCAGCAGCATTACTTATCACCTGTATCAGTTGTGAAAGGTGCACATGCTGGCAATGTGGGTACCCCATATTTTCAGAATACACACAGTCACGTAACGGGTTGACTAGTAAATGAATCTCGTGCACCTTTATATTTGCGCCTTCTCTGCTCATTTGAAGGAATCCTCCACGGAAAAAGCTCCGCCCTCATTACCACAGAAAACGATACCTTAAAGGAATCTTCCACGGAAAGAGTGATCATTTTGTCTTGTGTGTAGGATTAGTATTATCGAAACTAACGCTTATGTTCCGTTCTTTTTGCTATGCTCATGAGGCTAGGGGCCTAAGGGGTATCGTTTTTCTGTGGTAATGGAGGCGGAGCTTTTTCCGCGGAAGATTCCTTTAACATCAAGCCCTCCCGAGACTGGGTTAACGAGAATGACCAACCCGAATCCCAAAAGACTTCCCTCTGTGGATTACGGTCTGTTTTGTAAGGCTGCTCACGCATCATCCACCGCGAGCTACCGCCGTTCCTACGCTGCTTTCTCGGTAGGCTTGGGCTTTAAGCCAGCTTAATAGATTGACCAGCCAGCTTAATAGATTGGCCTGCTGCTTACCTTGTTCCCCATGCGTTTCCCTTCTTTCAAAAATGATCAAACGGTAAAAAAAATGTCATAAGTGTGAAGACTCTCCCTACAGCATACACATTCCTCTCAGTCCCTTCACGTGCTCAGATCCCTTCTTTCCCTAACACCGAGTCTGATGGCGTGAGTGTGTACGCATCATAACTTTTGAGGAAGAACATCAGGATGATGGCATAGAACGCGTATCTAGCTAACTCCGATGCAGCTCAGCGATGTCAACAGGATAGCTGAGTAGAGCTTCACGAAGACGTTGTGACACGACTAGCGAAAGTCGAATGTTATGATATTGCAATCTATCCTTGGATATGTGTTGTTTCGAAATTCCAGGAAAAATCGCTAAGGCTGAGCACGGCTCTTTCAACTAAGGCAAGTGTAATAAGGCCATCACTGTGAAGAAGATCATTAAAATCACTAGGCTACAAATAATCAAGCATAAACAAGCTCATCTATACATGAACGAGTACAGTGAGATTTCAACTCTGTGTTATATCCAGACGTTAGCAAGACGTTAGCTGAATAGAATTGGTAGGGAAAAACTGGGGGCTGGAATAGAATTCTGTCTCAGAGTTTCCCTTGAGTTAGTAGTCGATGAATGAAATTTTTACTGTGATAATAAATATTGCTTTCAGAGATTTCGAGGAACCTGGAGAAGAGTTCTCATCCTCAAATCATGAAAAATAAATCAAGTTATATAAGTGAAATCACAGTCTTATGAGGAAAAATCACTGTGCTTTGGGAACATTAACAGTTTTAGTCCGGACTCATAGATCCTTCAGGTTTCTAATTCAAACGAATGTTCACCATAGGAATGCAAGCTTTTGAGCTGCAGTATCGAAACCGTGAGCGATCTCGTCGACTCAAGGGGAATTTGGAAATGAAAAGGAGAAAACAGACGAGGAAAAAACGATTCCAAATTGCTACAGTATTAAAGTCAAAATACGCGCGTTCGGGAAACAGCCGCTCCAGTCTGCTCTACATGAGTCACTTACGAATGTATTGGTTGGCAGTTAAGATTACTACGTACGTGAGTTCACTGACGACTTTACTTCGCGTACATAATTGTATCACTGTGGAATCTCATGCAAGATAGATTTTCATGATTCGAATTTATCTTGTGGAATAAAGTTATGCATTGGAATTTAGGTAAAAACTAAACTACATTGCGGAACGGCCCGACACCTTCAACCTTTTCTAATTGAATGCAAAGCTAAGGATCAATTACAGTAGAAGAACTCTCCAAAGAGAGGGGCAAGTAAGCTATTTCGTTTTGGAAAGGGCAATAAAACCACTTACGATTATGAAATTCTCGAAATTTTCCCGATCTTCCATGTTACCGTCTTCGTTGCCGGTTACTGTATCTGGCAATGATATAGGAACCAATTCTTGATTATGAATGCCGGACATCTGAGAATAAGAGGCAGAACTCTAAAAATTTGGATTAAGCAGTTTCTGTGAGTTATGCTAAATAACTGTCTCCTGAGGAAAGCGTAGGAATTGAATAGGAAGCCCCGATTGCACTGAAGGTCGGTGGGAACTGAAACCAGCGCGAGCTCATTTTTGAAGTGGGAGTCACTGCTGTACTTTTAATTGCCAACTTGATGGGTAGGACCACTTGAAACTGTCCGTTACACCTAGCTGTGAAATCATACCGCCATTTCAAGATGGTGAAAAAATCCCCAACGAGACAGATCGCGCTGGCGCATTAACCGTAATCAGGGCAGTGACCAGGAGGGTCTTTGAGTCGTGCCGCGCTTTTTGACGGTTCTTGCATTATACAGTACCCCGCACATCTTTTTCTTCAAAAAAAAAGCGAAGGGAGGCGTAGACCGCGTCTTTTTCTTTTTGCTATAAGTTAATTTCTATTCATGTTTTTCACAAGAAACTGCACCATTAGACTCAACTCGTCAAGTTCTACAAGTTTCCTCTCTTCAATTTAGCAAACTTTGATTTCTATTTTAGTGTTATAACTTTTATGGGATTTTCGTTCAATGAAAAGGTGTGAAATGTCTCCCAGTCAGGAACTCAAATTTGACAGCCGGTGGCGGTTAAAAAAAACTTGAAACGCTTAGCAAGGTAGGCTGAGTAGAATAGAAATCCAGCTAGGCTGTAGTTTAGTCCGTTTTTGTTACTTTCCACTCCAAAGAAACAACTTTGTTCAAAAATGAAATTGAACCAAGGGGATCTAAATCGGGAGCAATAGGTGTCAAAATGTTCGACATCACCTGAAGAGAGCATAAGCCTCACTATCATTCTATTTCAGGTTGAAGAGGAGCACAAAGATTTGCTAATACCTCCACTGGAAGCTTTCCCATCCTATCTATCAGCATAGTGGCCTATGCTGGCTATTCAGCGCCGTAGGCTTTTTGATATCGAAAAATAAAGTTTTCAAAAATTCATGAGGGCGGACTTATACCTAGAATCGAGGGGCTGGGCGTAATGCTATAGTTTACTGTGAGGAAAAGTAAACACTAACCAAGTATAACAAAAGGCGAGAGAGACGCGTATCCGTGTCATTCGCGGTTTTTTTTGGCACAGTTGCGGGAGGTACTGTATAGAGAAAAGTGTATAGAAAGGGCTTAGGGCTTTACTTCAGTTGTCCTGGGCCACTTCAAAAATTGAACGAAGGTTGCTTTACGTTTCAAACCCTGTGGTGACAAGCTTTTGCATTTTCGATCAATGTCCGTGCTACTTCGCACAATAATTCCTGTGGTTAGTAATGGATGCCATATAACGGCATCAACCTACCTTCCATCCATTCCTTTAGTAAAAGTTATTGCTGACCGGTGTTCTAGAGTCAATGAAAAACAGGTCGCCGTAGTCTACTAAGGTTTCCAATGGCTTCAAGGCAATGATTCAACCATTGCACCATTTCGTTTTCCGAATCAACCTCCATTTTGCCTGAAACGAAGCGGTTGCAGTGGCTTTTTCAGCGAATATCTGTGGCTGTAAAATTGCCACAGAAAGTAATAGCTACAGTAGGCCAAGTTTGTGTCATTTGCAAAGATCGTGGACTAGCTTGATAGTTTCTTGAACAGAAGAATCTAACTGTCCAAGTACTTCCGTTTGTAAGGATTTGCAAGAAAACTAATGGTGACTGTTTCGGGTGGCAAAAAGTAATGGGATTCGCTATTGAAATGTTGCTCATCTCACACCCTTGAGTATGTCTCACCTTGCCTGCCTCACATCCTTTCCGATTGAATCAGTACTCTATTTACGATCTTGAAGACAGCCCATTGTGCGCGTATCTCGCCTTCTGTTATCTTTTTTTTTCAAAATATTCGTTATTACCTCACTCTGTTGCTGATAAGAGATACTCTATTTCATTTATACGATTGTATATTGACAATCTTGGGGCATTAAAAATAGCGATCAAATAGTTTAGCTGATTCCGACCTGAATTGTGACGCTCATGCGCGTCGCGCTGTTGTCAATTCGTTACGTGTTCAGAGTAATCCAAAATATATTTCATCAACAAAATTCTAGACTAACAAACAAAGCCTTGATTGAACCTGAGTATTAAACTGAATTTTTACTACAATTGTGGTTGCATAGTCTATTGCTGTACTCCGTTTTCATGTATTTATCACCCCACAAGTTTCGCGTAGTACGTTTCTGCTCTGGTATGTATTTTTGAGTCAAACACTCCTAAAAGAGATGAGCTAAATTTTGCTTGTTGTTGTTCTATCATGTGTTTGAAATGACTCTTCAATCACCATAACATGACTAAATTTAACTTACCTTCGATGGAGGAAGTTGTAATGAGGTTGCACCCAAGGGGGGGGGGCGCCAACCCATCAACCAAATATACACTGCGCCTTCTGATGATATAGCAACATAGAATTTGTTCAGAATTCCAAATCCCATGAAGTCTCTGGAAAAATGTCCAAG